GCAGTATGCCTTTAACTTTCATGAAAAAAACAGATGGTTAAAATTTATTATTAAATTAAAAAAAGGACAAATAAAAACTACTTCTCTTATAAATTCCTCGATGTAAGATTTTGAATCGCGAAGTACCTTAAGGGCAACACTTTTTGATATATTTTTACCCACCCACTCAGCGTAATACACAGTTGCAAATCCACCTTTACCTATCTCTCGAATATTTTTAAATTCATCAAAAGGTATCCATTGTAGTGAATATTTTGTTTCAACTAGCATTTTTTTTAAATAGTCATCAATGACGTTAATTTTATGTATCCATTCATTTGTCTCTAGAATATGATGAAAATTTAATAATTATTCCATATATTTTATATGATTCCTAAGTAATAATCTAAATAATAACATAACAAATTTACCTAATGATAGGTTTCTTCGTCTAATTTGATTTTTTATATTTGTATATTACAAAAATTAAGTTAGAATTGTAATATATGACAAGAATAAATAACTGTATATTTTACCTTAGGAACCATTCACGAGCCTTTTGTAAATCTCTTTCTATTCCGATACCATTTCGATAACGGTAAGCTGTTTGAATCATTCCAGCAAGATTTCCCATAACTGCTGATTTTTGATAATAGATAAATGCTTCGTGCTCGTCAATTTCAACACCAATCCCATTATGAAAACAATAGCCAACATTATAAGTTCCATTAGAATTTCCTAAATCAGCGGATTTTTGGTAGCAATTGAATGCTCTATAATTGTCTTTTTCAACACCGATGCCATTTTGGAAACAATAGCCAACTTGGAAAATTCCATCAGAATTTCCAATTTCAGCAGATTTTTGATAATAGAAGAATGCTTTATTTTCGTCCTTTTCAACACCAATTCCATTTTGATATGAATATCCAAGCCCATTCATTCCATCAGTATTCCCTAAATCAGCAGATTTTTGATAATAAATGAATGCCTTATATTCATCTTTTTCAACTCCAATTCCTTTTTGATAACAATAACCAATTTCACAAGTTCCAATAGAGTTTCCTATCTCTGCAGACTTTTGATAATAAATGAACGCCTCATGTTCATCTTTTTTAACTCCAATTCCTTTCTGATAACAATGGCCGACTTGAAGCATTCCATTAGAACTTCCCATAACGGCAGATTTTTGATAACAATTAAATGCCTTACTTTCATCTTTTTCAACTCCAGTCCCATTTTGATATAAAACACCAAGATTATATGTTCCATCAACGTGTTCCATTTCAGCTGATTTTTGATAATAGCTAAATGCCTTATATTCATCCTTTAAAATACCCATTCCATTATGATAGCAATACCCAACTTGAAAGCAACCATCGGGATTTCCCATCTCTGCCAATTTTTGATAATATATAAATGCCTTGTACTTATCTTTTTCAGTCCCGATTCCATCTCTATAGCAATGACTAACCTGAAGTATACTTTTAATATGCGCCATTCCAGCAGATCTTTGATAATATGTAAATGCTTTATTAATGTCCTTTTCAACACCAATCCCATTTTGGTAACAAAAGCCAAGATTGTAGATTCCATCAGCGTGCCCCATCACCACTAATTTTTGATAATAAGTAAAAGCCTTACACTCATCCTTCTTAACCCAAATACCATCTTCATAGCAATTAGCAATTTGAAAAATACCATCAGGGATCTTCATCTCTGCAGACATTTCATAATAAGCAAATGCTTTATAATCATTCTTTTAGTCCCAATTCCATTTTGATAGCAATGGCCAACTTGAATCATTCCTTTAGAATTTTTCATTTCTGCAGATTTTCGATAATGAACAAATGCTTTGCATTCATCCTTTTCAACACCAATTCCATTTTGGTAACAATAACCGGTTTGTAGCACCCCATTTGAATTTCCCAATTCTGCCGATTTTTCATAAAATACAAATGCTTTATATGCATCCTTACTGACTCCAATCCCATTTTGATAACAGCGACCAAGTTCATATATCCCAATAGGATGCTCTACATTGACTAACTTTTCAAAATAATCGAATGCTTTTTGTTCATTTTTTTCAATTCCAACCCCGTTTTTATAACAATGGCCAACTTGAAATATTCCATCAGGATTGCCCATATCTGCAGATTTTTGGTAATAATTGAATGCTTCATACTCATTTACTTCAATTCCTATTCCATTTTTATAACAATTACCAACTTGAAACATTCCGTTGGAATTTCCCATTTCGGCTGATTTTTTATGATAATCGAATGCTTTATGCGTGTCTCTTTCGATCCCTATTCCTTTTTGGTAACAATAACCAAGTTGGTTGATTCCGTTCGAATTACCCATTTCTGCTGATTTTTGATAATAAATAAATGCTTTATGTTCGTCTTTCTCAGCATTTATTCCATTCAAATAGCAATTACCAACTTGAACCATTCCATTAGGATTTCCCATTTCGGCCGATTTTTCAAAGTGAGTAAATGCTTTATTTCTATCTTTTTCAACTCCAATTCCTTGATAATAACATAAACCAAGCTTATATGTTCCATCTGAATGTCCTTTTTCAGCTAACTTTTGATAATAAGCAAAAATTTTTTCACTATCTTTCTCCATTTTCTTCATTATTTCGAAATGTTTCATCGAATTTTTCTAGCTTTACAGATTTTTGGTAATAAAAAAGCGCTATATTTTCATCCTTTTCAACACCAATTCCATTTTCATAACAATAGCCAAGATTATAAGTACCAATAGTGTCATTCATATCCGCGGATTTTTGATAATAAATAAATGCTTTATGACGATCAATTTTAACCCCAATTCCAAATTGGCAAGCTGATTAATTCCATTAATATGTCCCATATCTGCGGATTTCTGAAAATAAACGAATGCTTTGTGTTTATCTTTCTTACATCCGATTCCATTTTGATAACAATAGCCAACTTGAAATTTTCCACCGGAATCTCCAATTTCGACGGACTTTTGATAGTATTTGAATGCCTGATTTTCGTCTTTTACAACTCCAATTCCATTTTTATAACAATTACCAACTTGACAAATTCCTTTAGAATGTCCCATTTCGGCCGATTTTCGATAATAAATAAATGCTTCATGTTCATTTTTTTCAGCCCCAATTCCATTTTGATAACAGTTACCAAGGTTATATATTCCATCCGCATTCCCTATACTAGCGGATTTTTGATAATAAGTAAACGCTTTCTTTTCATCTTTTTCAATACCTATTCCATTTTGGTAGCAATAACCGATTTGAAAAATTCCATTCAAATTCCCGGCATCAACAGATTTTTCATAATATTTGAATGCCTTAGCTCCATCTTTTTCAACGCCAATTCCATTTTGATAACAATGACCAACAAGAAACAAACCATCAGAATTACCCATTTCGGAGGATTTTTGGTAGCGAATGAATGCTTTATAATTATCTTTTTCAACACCAATTCCATTTTGATAGCAATGGCCAGTCTGAATCATTCCATTAGAATATCCCATATCGGCTGATTTTTGATAATGAATAAATGCTTTATACTCATCTTTTTCAACACCAATCCCATTGCCATAACAATAGCCAGTAGTACTGTAAATTCCATCAATATTGCCCATCTTCGCAGATTTTTGGAAATGAATAAATGCTGAAAATTCATTCTTCTCAACTCCAATTCCATTCATATAGCAATAACCAAGGTTATATGTTCCTGCTGCATTTCCTATTTTAAACGACTTTTGATAATAATTAAATGCTTCGTACTCATCTTTCTTAATCCCAATTCCACATTGGTAGCAATTACCAAGCTGATTAATTCCATCAACATGTCCTAAGTCAGTAGACTTTTGGAAACAAATAAATGCTTCGTGTTTATCCATTTTAACACCGACTCCATTTAGATAGCAAGTGCCAAGACTAAATAATCCCCATATTAGCAGATTTTTGATAATAAATAAATGCTTGATGCTCATCTTTTTTAATTCCAACCCCATTTTGATAACAATAGCCAACTTGGTTAATGCCTTCAACATCGCCCATCTCAACGGATCTTTGGTAATACGTGAAGGCTATATGTTCGTTCTTTTCGACACCAATTCCATTTTGGTAACAATGTCCAATTTTATATGTTCCGCCAATATGCCTCATCTCAGAAGATTTTTGATAATTAATAAATGCTTTATGCTCATCCTTTTTGGCACCATTTCCATATTTATAGCAATGACCAACTGTATATGTTCCATCTGCATGCCCTAATTCTGCGGATTTTTGATAATATCTAAATGCTTTATTTATATCTCTTTCAATACCAATCCCGTATTGGTAACAATAACCAACTTTAAATATTCCATCTGAGTTTCCAACATCTGCGGATTTTTTATAATAGATGAACGCCATATTTTCATCTTTTGTAACTCCAATTCCATTTTGATAACAATTACCAACTTGAAATAATCCTTCAGAATTCCCTAACCCTACTGATTTTTGGTAATGAATAAATGCTTCTTGTTCATTCTTTTTAACACCTATCCGTTAAAATAACAATAACCAAGAATATATGTTCCGTCAGCATATCCTAACTTTGCGGATCTCTGATAATAAAGAAATGCCTTGTTTTCGTCCTTTTCGATCCCGATTCCGTGTTGATAGCAATGACCAACTTGAACTATTCCATCCAATTTTCTAATTTCTGCAGATTTTTGATAATAGGCAAATGCGCTATTTTCATCTTTTACAATTCCAATACCATTTTGATAACATTTACCAACTCGGAATATCCCATCAGAATTTCCCATTTCAGCCGATTTCTTATAATAAAAAAAAGCTTTCTGTTCATTCTTTTCGACACCGATTCCATTTTCGTAAGAATAACCAAAACTAAAAGTTCCTAATGCGCTTTCCATCTCTGCAGATTTTTGATAATAATTGAATGCCTTAATTTCATTTTTTTCAACTCCATAACCGTTTTCATGGCAATGACCAAGCTTATATAATCTAACACCTAAATCTAACCTTTTGTAATGTTCTAAGGTTAATTTTTTATCAATTTGAGTTCCGTACCCATTCATATAACAGCAACCTGTGTAGGATTGAGCAATCCAGTTATTGCCCTGCGTAGCATTAATAAATGATCGAAATGCTTCATCATAGTTTTGATTTGTTCCAATTCCAACATAATAAAAAAATCCGAGTAAACAATTATTGTTAGCATTTGTCTGATTATCATAAAGGAGATTAAAAATTTCAGTTTCATGAATTTTGTGTGTTTCTAAATATTGAAGAATCAAAAGCTTAATTACAGAATCATCAGAGTGGATGTGCAAAAGTTTTTCAAAAAAATCCCACAATTCATCTAAATTTTTTAATGAAATTTTTATTGGCTTAAATGTAGTTCCTGAATTATTTTTTGGGCTGACAGATGACAAAGCATGTTGATCAGTAGCATTTGTTGAAATATCTGGATCCCTAATGATTGAAAGTGATGCAAAATCGTGATCTAGATATAAATAATTGATAATGCTTTAAATAAACGATAATATTAAATTAAATGTGTGACTTATTTTTATGGATAAAATTTGTAATACTCTACCGATATTTGGTAAATATAGATCAGATGGTGCTTCTGATTCGGGAATTATCGAATCTTCAAAAACTGGAATAAGACTTGTTGATTTCAACCGATCAAGAATATCATCTAGTTTTAAGCGTTGGGTAGGATCAGTCTCCCAACAATCAGAATAAATTTGAATAAATTCGAGTGGTGTTCCAGAGACAGGCTTTTCTCGTAAACTTCGCTACCAAGTGTAGTGAGATTTGAATCTTTGAATGGTGTACAACAACTCGAAATCTCCCAAAATATCACACCAAGGCTATATATATCTGATCTTTTATCTTGTCTGTAACGTCTATTAAGAAATACTTGTGGTTCAATAAATGGCACAACCCCAAATATTTTAGATCTGGTTGTTGTTGTACTGTTGAGGAATTTTGAAAGACCAAAGTCCGAAATTTTGACATTGCCGTCATGAATAAGAATATTTTTGGTGTGCTGATTTAAAAAAAAAAGTAATGAAAATAATTCAGTGAATTATATAAATTATAGTACTCATGATTAGTAGATGATATTTACCAGGTCACGATGTGCAATATTGAGTTCATTATGAATATAAGTTATTCCTTCAGTTATTTGAGTTGCAATTTTTAATCTTTTTTCCCATTGAAGATTGTCTTTTTTTGTTATCAAATATTTTCTTAAATCACCTTCGTTAGCAAATTCTATCACGATGTAATATCGGTCGTCACCTTCATCTTTATAAAGAATATAACAATCTTAACATTAGTCCTGAGAAATATAACAAGAAAAATAAATAATAATGCAGACCTCTGCTTACTCCAAAAAATTTAGTTATTCGATCATGCTCAGTTCTACTGTGTAATTTCAACTAATAATATGAAATAATAAGTGTATTAATTTAGGTATGACGTTTATATGATTTGAAGATTTTCTAACCTCATTAATAAAATTTTTAACACTCATTTCATTATCTTCTTCCTCAAAGGATACTCCCTTTAATGCTATCACTTCTGGAATCGTTGGAATTGATTTACAAGTAGCAGAATATATATCACCAAAACCACCTCTACCTAACCTCCCAGTTTTTTTAAAACTCTCATAAGGTATATTTTTAAGTTCATGCCTGACGACAGCATTTTGATACCAATCACCGCCATTACTCATTTTCTTGAAGATGTCCTAAAAATTTTTTTTTAACGTAATGAACTACTCAATAATTTGAATAATCATCGTTCGTCAACCAGAATTTACCTACTTTATGATGGCGCGCAGTTAAGAAATTTTTTAGCTCGTAATGCTTAACGTTAGAAACTACGATAAAAAAAAACTTTGTTTCCGAAATTCATTGTATACAGTACGTGTGACCCATGTATTGTAGCGTTGGCATAGAGTAGCGATCCGGATAACTATATCCGGATTTAACGCAGATATTTTTTAAACGGATATATCCGATCCTGACATTAAATCGGATTATCCGTTATCCTTTTTGCAGATATCCTGTATCCGATAATAATAATATTTAATATTTTAATAACAATAACAATAATGTAAAAAAATAATATATTTATTTTTCTCAATGCACAACAACAATTCTATTGCTATAATCAACAAGTACTTATAAGTTACAATTATATTATTTATATAAACTTATACGTACTACTATTAACGCTAAATAAAAATATATTAAGGATGAATAAACACTAACGCTAATAACATATTATTCGGGATAAATAAAAACTATAATGCTAAATAATAACATATTATTCAGGATGAATATTTTGATATTGATCAATATTCCTCTTTAAAAACATCATTCTTTTAAAAAGTTCCGGAGAAATTCTTGTTCTCTTTGATGTCATTAAGTTACCGGCATCACTAAATAAACGTTCACTTGGGGTGGATGTTGCCGGGACTGCAAGATGAATTCTTAGATAGTATTGGAAATTTCTTCGAATGTAAGTCCCACCACACCAAAGGATCTTTTTGAGACTTATTTCAGGCTGTCTCATATATTCATCAATTTCATCAGCTACCGGGTTATCTTCTTTTTATAATGATTTTAATAAGTATGGTGTATACAATGGATTTGTGATGATCATAAATTTATTGAATACTTTTTTTTTTAAATTATGAGTGTTATTATTAAGCTCTTTCTCATTTTGATCTATCTCCATAGTTTTTCATTGTCATATAGTTGTTCAAGAAAATTTCTAACAGCCGTTCTATCCATATTATCCATATAATCAAGTGATTTAAGATGTGGGTCTAGTAATGCTGATATTGATTCTTGTGGTGTCGGATTGGGATAATGTTATATACAAATTATGCTTTACTTTTTCTAAGAGACCTGTAGTATTTACTGGTGTATTTAATTTAATTCAAGATTGTTCATTTTGTAACTCTTCTTCTTCATAATCATCAAATGCATCATGATTTTCAATGTTATAAAATTCATCATTTACTTGATTTGGTTGAAAAATAGGTTTTAATTCTTTTACAACCCGATGCATAAGACTGTGTGTTGCATAATAAGAATCATCTAAATATCTGGTTGCCTATAATAATTAATGTTATATTAATAAAATTATTATAATGTTATGTATTAAAATGTTTACTTACTTCTTCAAAAGGGCCAAGAACTTGTAAGAGTTCTTTTATTAACTCCCATTCTGAATTTGTTAAATTAATTTCTTATAATCATTTTCTATCTTTCCATTCATCAGAATTATCATGAGTTGTTAGATAAATAATCAAAAACTCAATATAAACTTTAATTTGAACTAATCAAATCCAAGCTAAATAAGAACTGTTTCACCTAGTTCTACAATCTGAGATACAATTAACTAAATACTCAGTAGTCTCTTCAGCATTCTTTATTATGTATAAAAAAAAATTAGACTAATAAAAATAATTATTATTAAATATGAAATAATAATATTATATTTACCACATGTATCATATTTGGATTTTTTTTTGAATTTCTTTTAATCGTTCAGATTTTTTAGGATGTAAAAAAAAATCAATTAAACATTTAGCACGAGCAATTAAAGATTCTACTGGCAATAATGCTTTTCCTATTACTAATTGTAAAATATGTGAACTGCAACGTTGCCATCTAACTTTATCCATTTTCAATACAGCTTTTTTCATATTTGAACCACTATCAGTTGTTATAGAATACACTTTTTCACTAAGATCCTAATATTTAAGAATTTTTTCTACTATTTTACAATTGCTGTATGAGGATAATAAACATATTGGATTGTAAGAGTAATTTCTTTTAATTTAAATTGGCAATCAATATATGAGCATGTAATTCCAAGATAGCCTTGCCGATTTTTGGCAGTCCATAAATCCATTGTAAGTGAAACTTTAAGTACATTTTGTTTAATATGCTCTTGTAAAATAGGGATTGAATAATTATAAGCTTGGTGAATAATTCGCTTAATTAATTTAACATCAGGAATTAGAAATGCTGGATCAAGCTCATTTATAAATCGATGAAAAAATTCACTTTACAATAATTAAAGGGCGTGAATCTGCTATGAGCCAAGTAACAAGTAATTGTTGTAATTCCTTTTGTCACTTTTCATCATGAGGATGAATAGATCTTATCTAAATTTTATTAAATTAATTAATATTAAAATTAATATTGATCTGAATAAAAAATTTGAATATACAGTATGTATTAAATATCAAATATACCATTTTAGGAATTTGATTGGTTTTTGTTATACCATATTCAGTACTTAAATGTCCAATAAGATTACCAGTTGAGGATCCACTTTTATATTTTTGTCCACATTCTTTACCATTTAATACTTCAATTTTACATATTGAATATTTTATCTATTTGCCTTTTTTTTTCGAAGTTCTTGTCAAAAAAAAAGTCCACACCCAACTGATCTTTCCAGATAAGTCCAAATGAATAACCTCTTCTTCAGAAGATTCATTGATTTCATTAGAGTCAGAAAGGTTAGAGTCAGAAATATTAGAATCAGATATACTTCGTCTTCTGTTAGAAGTAGACATTTTTAACGAAAGTATTGATAATAAGAAAAAAATAAACAATAATGATTATTTGATGCAGTCGTTGACAAATAATAATGATATATGATATATGTAGTCACTGATAAATAATAATGATATATGTAGTCACTGATAATAGTCTATTATTTATACGTAGTTATTGATTAATAATAATAATTTATTATTTTTATAGTTATAATAATACACCAAAACGGATAACCGAATATCTGACGAATAATCCGAGTCTATCCGAGTATAATTATTTTTCGGATAGTTTTTTATAAATCCGGATAGGATTCTAAAATTATGCGGATGGCTAGGATTTTAAAGCTACGGATCGCTACTCTACGTTGGCATATAACCGGAAATCACCTAAATGACTAAGCGACAAAGTCACAGGTTATATAGTCTTGTGACCTTGATGTGACCTAATGTGACGTAGGCGAACCTTCTTCTAATTGGTCGGTCATATTTATATATTTTAGCAAGTAAAAAATAGTTGTCTCTGTTACGTCACTTAATCATTCATAATGTGACCATAACCGATAACTATAGGTTATGTACATAATGACCAAAGTCATTTAAGAAACAACAAAATTACCTAGTCATTTACCAACACTGACGTATTGCAGTTAGTTCCCCAGAAACTGCACTACCTCCGTAAAGTAGATCGTCACGATTTTTGTACGTACTTCGTAAGAAATGCTTTCAAATTTGGATTTTTCAGCAACGTTTCATAAATTTATTCTGGTTATATGTCATAAAATCGCATTCACAAAATTTCCGTATTTAATTTATCTTTGAGCTTTAAAATTTATTATACAATGTAAATGTTATTCTTGTTTTTAAAGGACATATTCATCTACTTTTCAATAGCTCCTCTAGCATAAGGATCGGAACCACCTAAAATTTTCTTAAACGCTTAATCGTATTAACTTTTTAATTCAGCCAGCATTAAAATTGCCCTGACTCATGATCATCAAAATTTTCTATGCGGTTAAACGGTTCTAATCCCTAATAATACGGATCTCGATTCTTCAATATTAGAAAAATTTTGGTTATTACAACCATTGCATTGCTATATACCTATATGAAAATTATAAATAAACACTTTATTTCAATATCTTTGCTAAATAATAAAAAATACAGACAATCAAGAAGCGCAGATTTGTGTGATTTCACATAATAAATAATATGTTTATTACTATTTTTCTATAGATTCATAAGATACTCGAAGCTTTGTTTATAAAGTTTTCTAAGTATTCAAACGGGTTGTTACATAAAAACATCTATTAAAATAGAAGCTATATCAAAAAAAAACTTTAAGCAATAAAAAGCTTATTAAATATATTTGCTTAATTTTAATATATTAAAAATTAGTGAGATAATTGTATAATATATTATTATGTAGTATTATCATTATCTTTTAGTTCAATGGATCGGATTGAACAGAATATGGCGATCCTCTAGGAAGACATTCGTATGAATGGCAGTTTAAATCAATTTAATTTTACATTATTTATACAGTTTAAAGTATTTTTTTTAAAAAAAAGAAAACTACTACGAATAAACAAAAAGAAGTATATAGAAAGTTTTAGTAGGGTTGTAGGACTCCACTATTAAAAATAATCAAAATTCTTTTTTGTTTTGGAGAAGTTAGCATTACATGTAATATTTATAATGATTTATAGTTTGACCGAGCGTAATGTCAACTATAAAGGTCAAAATTTTGATTTTTTTCCAGGTTATTTTTATTTTGTTATTTTCATTATTATTTATATAATGGGTTAATCTGTGGTGAAGGTAGGTTAGAAGCGTCATCAATCGAGATCAGAGTCCAAAATTTTTTTCAGGGTTTACATTGATCGATTATATAATATGTTTAATTTGCAACTAAACAAATGCTTGGATTTAAAGTCAAAATTTTATTTTAATTCCATAAACTCGCCGAGATGAACTATTAAAACAAAAGAATGAGGTGTATATTTTATACAGACACTATTTGCATACATTAAATAGCCTTGACTTTTGCAGTAATTATAACATGCAGCATTAATACAATAAGTTGTACCGACACTTGCGCTTTTGACATAGGCCGTGATGGATAAAACCATGATTAATGTAAAAATCATAAAAAAATTTGTCAACATCATAACTAATATTTATTATAAATAAATAAACTAAACGAAAAGTTAACGAGTCTACTAAAATGCACCATTAGTGTTGAACACCATAGGTGTTATATTTCAAAACCCCACTAAATATAAGGTTTAGAATACTAAGTAAAAATGTTCAGAACCGAGTATACATATATTTCGTATTGTACTTTTTTTTCAATTGTTCATACAGTACCGTACGCCCCTTATTATATAGTAGAGTGTAGGTAGACAAGAGGTGTACGGCATTGTATTGCTTAATCGTACGATATGTAAGCAAAAATTACGTAGTAAGATCATTCGAAAGTCATTATTACATCCTATCGATATACATTGTATAATTAACGATAATTGAGTTAATTCTCTTTCGCTTTTTCTAAAAATTTGTTTACGGACTCTATAACAATACAAGACGATGATGTCGAAAGTATTAGCACTTCCACTGTCGAAGGTGCGTATGTACATTTTTTGGATATTATGTAACATTTTAACAAATGTTTCATGTTTAACTGTTGTGAATCCACCTTTTTCTATTTCTCGAATTATTTCAAATTTATTATAAGGAATCCATGGCAATCGGTATTTATTTACAATCAGCATTTTTTTTTAAAAATCATTATAAAAACAAAAACTGATAAATATATTACGTTATGTTAAAGTTTAACGCGATTTTGCTATGCACGTACAAAATCATTGCTATCATTTTTGCTCAATTTGCCATTGTACTTTCACCCTTAACACAGTCAGTGGCTAAGTTTCCGAATAAACCTTCTTACAACATGCTTAAATTTATGTCGATTTTTCTATAGTACTATAAAAATAAAACCAGTTTTTTAAAAAAAGATCAAAAAGTTATTTTTACTGACATATTGCCTAGACGGTTTTTTAAAGTTTAAATATTGCAAGATGTAACCACATGATTTCTATGATGATGGAGAAAATATCTGAGATTTTAGATTGTCTTTTGTTTTATATTTTCGAACAGATACATTTATATTTCTTTGAAATCGATAAAATTCTTAAAATCGGTGGAATCTCCAATTCCCACACGACATTATGATCTGCAGAGGCCACATCTTTTTGCAAAGCGCAATAATTGATTGTAGAAATTTTAAGTTAGAATTTGTTTAATAAATCTTGAGCAATTTTGATAAAGAATACTTCTCTAACAGAATTTTCTAATGACAGTGACAGTAATACAGAGCAATTCTTTCACTTTATTATTTTAATTTTGTTAAGGAGTATTACTCAACTTATCATATGCACATCTTTTTCTGGTTGGTATACTAAATTTATACAGTATTAATGTTGCTTCTTAAGAGTGAAAATTCTCATGAATTATATTTACGAAATATTAAAAAAAATTTTTTTCCCGACAATCAGATATCAATTAATCATGGTAATCATATGTCAGGTATGTAGTACTACTATTGCCCGTATATGGAATTATGGCAAGTGAAGCTAGTTCACTACCAGTTCAAAATTGAAAATTTAATTTAATTGGCTTAACATTCTTAATTTAACAAAAATTTTTAGACAAGATCTGAAAGATCAGATATTTAGTAGATAATAATAAATATACCTTTTACGGTTTACAGGTTAAGAAATATGTTTTAAAAGTTCAGAATATTTTTGGAAGTGATAAACTCAGTGGCAAGATTGTTAATCCATATTGCGTAACATATTAATGTAATGAAGTGCAATACAAACGCCCTTTTAATGGCTTTCGTAAACATTATTTGATAGGTAACGAAAGATTCAAATATAATCCAAACCAATTGCATTTAGAAAATTATAATTCACAGAATTTTATTAATGAAATTGTGAATTATGTAATATATAAAGAAGAAAGCTTGAAAAAAAAAATCTATCCTTGATACAAATAACAATTTTTTTGCAAAAGAATCAAAATCCTAATGATATTGCTAATTGGTGTTTGAATAATCAATTTAATCAATTCAATTCTACCGTTCAAAATATTCTTATTTGAAGTTATCGTTTTAGTAAGTGGGTTAAAAAAGACGATATAAGGCATTCATTTATTATTAAAAATCAGCAGAGATAGGAGACGCCAATGGAATATTTAATGTTGGATATTACTATCTTATGGAATTGAGTTCGAAAAGAATGAACATAAGGCATTCATTTATTATCATAAGTCAGCAGAGTTAGGGAATGCTAGTGGTGCATATAATGCTGGACAGTGGGACAGTGTTATCTTAATGGAATTGGAGTTGATAAGGATGAACGTAAGGGGTTTATTTATTATTAAAATCCTGCAAGAACGATCACATTAGTAAAATATATAATGTTAGATATTGTTATGATATTGGAATTGGAATTGAAAAGAATGAACATATTGCATCAAGTAATTATCAAAAATCAACTAATATGGAAAGTGCTTATGGTGCATACAATGTTGGATATTGCTATCTTATTTGGAATGGAATTGAAAAGAATGAACGTGAGACATTTATATATTATGAAAATCTGCTAATATGGGTAATATTATTAGAACGTCAGAAGTTGTATTTTGTTATAGAAATGCAATTGGAGTAACAAGAGATATACAAAAAGCCAAAGAGTGTTATCAGAGGTAAATATTTTTAAAATTATTTTTATTATTTACTTTTATATTTACTTAATAATTCTGATTAGTGGAGAAGATCTGAAGTCAGGTAATTTATTATTGATTTAATCGTTAGTTTATACAAATAAAAATTTTTTATTTTCATATCCCCAGACGAGTCAGATACAGCTGGGCCACGATGCAACATATTGGCGAAACAATTCTGATCGCAAAATCATCTATAACACTCGATGTTGTATAAACTTAATGAATAGAAATGTGTCAAAGTTTTTTCACATTAATTTTGTAAACACATAGATGTATAAAAAATCCCACTCTGTTACGTTTCCCGAAGAGACGTAGTCAAGATAAAATCGGCCTGCATTGTAACTAGCTAATGCAAGCTAACAAATCGAGATTATAGCTTCATATTTATATAAAATCTCCGAATTACTGGTCATATGATTTGCTCAATGTTATGAAAATCAAAAATCCTAATATTTCAAAATCCAAATTTGACAGAATCTTTTATTCGTTATTAGCTATTAGTGAATGTACACATAAAAATTCTGATATCGATGAAGAGTTGAAAAATGTTGATCGAAAATAATTATAAATTGCCATTGATTCCTTACAATGAATTTGAAAATATTAAAAAGATAGAAAAGGTGCATTTGCAATTGTATATTATGCTTATTGGCCTGATCGAATTCAAGGAGTAGGAGACATGTTGCACTTAAACGCTTCATGAATCAAGCAAAATTAGGAAGAATTCATAAAAGAGGTGACTTTTAGTAAACTTTTATTATCAATGATTTATGTTATACTTTATCATCTTCAGATGTTTGAAGTTCTTGCTCATCTTGTGAAAAAAGTTTTTTTGCATAATCTTTCCATACTTGTTCAAGAGCTTCAAAATTTTATTTGTTGAGAATAAATTTTTATTTTAACAGAATTACTAAAAGGCAATTATAAACAAATACCTTTGTTAAGTTCTTGTTTGTATTCCATAACTTTATCATCTTTAAATGTTTTTAGTTCTTGTTCAACTTGTATAAAAAGTTTTTTAAAATTGTCTCCAAAATTTTGTAGATCTTGCTCTAACACTTTTTAAGGATTGTTTGTTGAGTTATAAAATTTTCATGTAATAATTTTTTTGCCAAAATTATTAAAAGGCAATTATAAACAAATACCTTCGATAAGTTCTTGTTTCAATAGTTCTTTAGAAAGATTTTCTAGTGACGAAAGTTTGTATTTTTTGTCTTCAGATGTTTGTAATTCTTGTTTATCTTGTGAAAAAGTTTTACATTATTTCTGGCTTTTAATATTTTATTTGTTGAGCAATAGATTTTTATGCAACAATTTTTTTAACAGAATTGTTACAAAGAATTATAAACAAATACCTTTGCTAATTTTTTCTTCCAATAGTTCTTCATACTTTGCTTTCAATGCAACGTTATTTTTGAGCAAACTTTCTCCAATTTCAGAAGCTAAAATTAGATCTCTTTCCTTTTCTTTAAGTAAACGATGAAATTCTGTAAGAAGTGAAATAAGATCACTTTTTTCTAGCGAATAAAGTTTTTCTTTGTCTGTTGAACAATAAAATTATTTCCTTAACATTGTCAAATGTTCTAAAATATTGCAAATACTCTAAACAGAAAAGCAATTGTAAATACCTTCTAAATTATAATTCATGATATTTACATAGCATAAAATATGCTAATTGACGATGGTATGTACTCTGCTGTATATTATATTTCCTTTTGCGAATGGTAATACAATCCAATAACTGCGCGACATTTTACACAAAATCGGAAACGGAAGCTGTTATTTTAATTTATTTTTAACCCCTTATACAACTAACTCTAATTTGTGAAACATTAGGGTTGCGTCTCAACTAATAAAATCAAATACCGATTTTGTTATTTAATGATTTATATATACACCAAAAGTTTTAGGTTACACGACATATGCTCTCCAAGTGCAATTCATTGGGACTGGACTTTTGGCAACATGCATTTAGAGAATAATTAAGAAAGTTGCATTTATAGAGGCAAACCGTATACCAAACATACACTCGAGCCCGAAGTTAATGTTGCATTTAGAGAAAAGTTGCACTTAGAGAGGTTGTATTTAGAGAGAGTTGACTATATACATATTATAATGTTATACATCAACTTTAAGGCTTGTTTAACAAGCTTGATTAAAAAGTCATCAAATCAAGATTTTAATATGAAAGAGTCAAAATTGCGTCTTTCGAAATAATAAACTTACCAAATGAAGGATGTGAAAAAATTCATCTCAAAAAGCTCCAAAGAGTGCTAATGAATCATTTGGAATAGATTTTTGCAATTCAATTATTTTATAATTTCCCGGTGTTATTCACTATTCACTTTGGGACGCCAAGTAGGCGTAATTTAAATTTTGTGTAACTTAAAATCTGTCAATACTTTATACAAATCATTAAATAACTATACCAATTTTTGTCGTTATCGTTATTAGTTGAGGCGCATGGATGCCCCCTAAGACGATTTATTTTTAAATCTGGATTCACTTATAGCGCTTTGCAAAAAAGGATGATTTCTGCGATGTCCGGGAAATTTTAAGTTATTTGTTGTTTTACGGTATATTTTCGAACGGTTACGTTTATATACGACTTTGTGATCTGCAAATCATAAGACTCACGGGACTCAAAATAGCAATCTCCAGGTCATGTGTAACGTGAAAATGTTTTCTGCTGATAACTAATTTTGTCTGAAAAATCACCTAATATAAAAGTTTATTACTTTAAAAATATCGATTGTCTGATATAAGTTCAACGTACTAAAATTTTTGCCACTTTCTCACACAGGACAACCTTTTTAAAGATGAAAGACTTATAAAATCTATTCCTTTTAGCACTATACAATGAAGAAAAGAGTCGATTGATTAGCTTAAATTTCTCTCCCAAATCAAGAAAAATTATTATTTGAATATACAGAGATACGAAAACGAAAATGATGACAAAAATGATGATAAAAACAATATGCTTCTATGAACTGGGAAAAAATCCCTCCTTTAACTTCTTTAAATATTACAATAAATATTAAATGGATAGTGAATGCACTCTACAACCCTTTCATGGAATAGCTATTCATTATATTAATGCATTTATGAAATAAAAATTAGTCAAAACGAGGAGAAGATTTTAGCAAATTCTCTTAAGAAAAACACCACGCTAACTTCGTTAAAACTCTGTGGTGGTGAACATGAATCTAATATAGGAAAAGATCTATTCGAAGTACTTTCTAAGAACAACACTATAAAAATATTTGCATTACAAAATTATGATTGCGATTCAGATGTAGGAAAGAAGTTGGCAGAAGCACTTTCTAAAAACAATACTATAAAAATATTTGCATTGCAAGATTGTAATTGCGATTCAGATGTAGGAAAGAAGTTGGAAGATGCACTTTCTAAGAACAATACTATAAAAATATTTGCATTATAAGATTATAATTGCGATTCTAATGTAGAAAAGAAGTTAACAGAAACACTTTGCAAAAACATCATGTTGACTTTGATCGATCTTAATTATTATGATATTGGATCGGAAGGTGGAATCGCATTAGCTGATGCACTTCGCAAGAACACCACATTGAAGTCTTTAGATATTAGTCTCAATAATCTTGGATCAGAAGGTGGAAAAGGATTAGCAAGTGTTCTTACCAATAACACTACTCTGACTTCCTTAGTTCTTTGTGAAAATAATCTTGGATCTGAAGTAGGAAAGGCAATAGCCGATGTATTTAACATGCACATCATGTTGTCTTGGTTTGAATAAGATTAATTCGGAAGGGGTAAAGGCGTTAGCAGGTTCACTTTGCAAGAATACCACGTTGACTTCCTTAAATCTTTGTGGTAATAAGAAATAGCCAATGCGCTTTCCAAGAATACTACCTTGATCTTCTTGGATCTTGGTTAATAACCTTGTTGTTATTATTATAAATAACTCCAACTGCATCAGAAATTATTTATTCTTGTAGTTAATGAATTTATTAGTATTATCTTCCATATCATTAAAGCCATTATTTTCAACCTCTATTGCTTTATCCGATTTTAAAATTCAGATAAAATTTTAGGGTAATTTTCTTTATAAAATAATTTCATAAATTTCCATTGCTGATGTTATCTTTATCTTTATCCCATCATTTCTTAAAAAGCTCGGCATACCGTTTAGGGTCCTGAAATTTAAAGACTATTTTAAACAAAGCACCATTTTACTAGTCTTATTTGTTGTCCTTTATATATTTAAATTTGAGTTTCGTCAAATGATCTATTAGGCTAATTAACAGGTTTATAGTTTATGCGCCAGATTAAGATAATTTAAGTTTAAATCAACTATAAGTATTATATATTTTGCAGCGAGCTTTAGCTATATAGAAAAACGTAACATATAGTACGGCTGATAAAGCATGTATGTTTATATGAATTTTGCATAAACATCGATACATATAGTACGTACATAGCAAGAGTAACATGCATCAATAACCTATTTTTAATCTATTTGATTAAAAAAACAATTGCAAATTATAAAAAACTCAATTATTAATTATAAATGCTATCAAATATTAACTAACATTAGTCAAAATTTAAGCATTCAACAGGTTCGCTCACTAAAACAAGTTTAACTGTTAATAAGTATGAAAAAAATAACACGTTAAATCGCTAAAACCAACATATTGTTGGAGAAATTCTTACCTGGTTTGGTGTTTATTGGTTAGGTAGATTTTGATATTTCAAAAGACGACTTTAATAAATAGCTTGTTTATGTGTCTGGTAGTTGAGTCGTGTCGATGTGGCTTGATTGAAATTTTTGCCAGAGTTATTTATTTTTTTAACCTGCTTATATAATTCGGTTTTTTCATTGAACAAATTATCACGAAATTGTTTTAGAGTTTCAGCTAATTCTTTAGCGCTCGGTCGGTTTTGAGGTTCAGCATCTAAGCATTTATTCATCAAATCCAAAAGTAGTCTGGGAACTTCATATTTAATTTCAGGTCTATAACCTAGACAAATTTTAATTGCTAGATCCTCATCAATAGCCATATATTTGTCTAATGACTTTTTCCCATTAGACTATGTAAGCTCACAACCCTGCCATAACACTTTAAAAATGTGGGATTCTCTCAATTCATATCAAGATATAACTTTAGCTTGTCATGTGAGATATCACGATATGGAGGATACCCAGTAAAAACTTCCGACATGATAATTTCAAAAGAATAAATATCTGATTTTTGAGTATATTTTTCCCCATGCAACACTTCTGGAGCAAAATCAGTAATGTAAGAATTAACCATATTTCTGTTAACTATATTTCCAGAATGAAAATCTTTATGCATTAATTTTGCTTCGTGGATTGTATCAAGCCCATCAACTATGTAAAATAAATAATTATTTTATGATTCCAATTTAAGTCATTATATTTGTTATCTAATAATTTTCGAAGACTTCCTTGCTTTGCATACACCATAGCCATCATATAATTATTGGTAATTAGGTTCTTAGTTAAGCCATAAACTTCAATTGCAGAATAGCCCCCAAGTTTATGTTGATTTTCAATCTAGAATCATAATTAGAATAAAAGAAACTTAATAATAACAATAACAATAACAATAACAATAGCAATCAATAATGGTAATTATAATGATAATGGTATGATAAAAATTTTATGATATATACTTCTTTTGGAAATTTGAGTTTTATGTCTTTAGAATTATCAATGCTTTTTAAACAAACATTCATTTGCAACTTTCTTATCCATTCATTCTTCCCAGCATCAAATCCCTTAATATACCCATCAGTCCAGACTGCTTTATAAACAGTGCCAAGCCTCCTTTAGCAAGATACTTGATATTTGTAAATTTATTAAAAGGTATCCATCCACTCGATAATGTCTTTAAACCTCTTTGCATCAAGTTGAGTTTGTTGAATAAATCCATCAATGTAGTTATTTCCACTTGTCCAATGAAAATCCTTTCTAAATCTTAAATTTTGAACAATAATAAATATAATACTTTATTAAGAGCAGCAATTTAATAATAACCAATATTTACCGTCTATCATGTGTTGATATATAGTTAATTAGAGGCGATTTATTATTATTATTATTGGATAGATTATTAATGTATAATTTTTAAAAAACTTACTCACTACTGTGATGGCACAGTAAGTAGTTAAGTTAGTTTGTATTGGCACTATCATTGATGCCTATCATAATATGGGGAGTCAATAGAATCCAGGCAAATTGTTTTTAGTAAGTTTTTTTTAAAACTTTAAATTAAAATATCTTAACAACTATTAAACTAAACTTTATAATTTTTTTTTATTTTAATTCTATAACTAAATAGAATTAAAATAAAAAAATTTTTATCAAGTTTGGTTTAATAGTTGTTGAG